TGTCTGTCCGTTCTCCGTTCTCTGTTCCAGGGTTTTTCGACGATAACATCCGAACGGTCCATCTTATTTTTTCGATTTTCGACTGTGTTTTGGACGTTGCTATGGAACGCGATAAGTGTCCGAAATTTGAAGCTATCGACTTCATATCGTCTCCTATTGAAATTGAGAGGGTTGGGGGGCCGGAATTATTAAAAAAAAAAATAAAAATCGCGTTTGCAAGGGTCTAAGAAAAAATTCATTTTTCCAAAAACCGTTAATGCAACCAAAAAAAATTCTTGGACGAGAAGACACACAAAATTTGGCTCCATAAACTTTTATTCTTCATAATTTTTCAAGAATGTACAGAGTGGGCCGCATATTCAATAAAACTGAAAAATGGGTCGCCTTAATATTGGAAATTGGATATAACTAAAAGACTGTATCTCAGATGTTTGTTTCTTTTACATTGCGATATTGCTCGGTTTTCACCTATTGTACAGGGTGTTCGCGATATTCCGTGCGATATAAAAAATGCGTTAAATGTCCTAAATTTGCAGATATAAACTTCAAAATTTGGCAGAGAATTAAAAGTCAGTGCCCACATTTAAACAGTAGAATTTGGGGGCAATCAAATTTCACCAAGTATTTTTTAAAAAAATTTGATTTTTTTTTTGGTTATTTTGATTTCCAGAAAAACATGTATTTTTCCATTACCATTCACCCTAATGGCAAAATTATTTAACTAGCAAACGGGGAAGATACAGTGCCATAACATTTATTTCAGTAAATTATTAACCACAATTTAAAAATCGTAAAAAATAGGGCTGATTGCTCATCAAGAGCTATAGTTTTTGTATTTGCGGTTTTCGTCAATTACACACGCTGCTCGAGATCTTTGAAAATAACTATTCCGGAGGCTCAGCAAAGACGCGATGACGTCATTGATTATTACGATGCGCTGCATGGTTTCAGAAAAAACTTATTTTCTCGAAAACCATTGAATATTTTGGAAAAATTCTTGGACCAAGAATATTGGAAGATTCAGAGCTATAACCTGTATTTCCGAATTTTTTCAAATATGTACAGGGTATGTCGATTATAGGTAAAAAAATCGAAAATACCATGAAAATTGCCGTTTTCGTGGATAAATAATTAGTCGTAAATGTAAAACTATAAAATATGAGATTTGCTTTAAACACAATATAAATATATTGCGATTTTGCGAATGTTTCATAGTGGTCCACAGGAGCACGATAGAAAAACTATCACAAGAAACCGTGAAACGACTTCCTTTTGAAATACTACGCCATGCGCTGAAATCGAATTTTTCGAAAGTATACGCGCTTGACAACGTACAGCGTCGCCATTGCTGCAGATGGAATCAGAGTCGAAAAAAAAAACGTTTTTACTTTTTGTCTGTTCCCTGTTCCATGTTCTCTATTTTCTGTTCTCTGCCGCCCCCAGAAAAATTGGTTTGAGTAAACAGACTACGAAACTTTGTATTTAATGTTTTTACCTATTGTACAGGATGTTCGTGATATTCTGTGCAGTATTAAAAAACGTAATAGGTGCCCTAAATTTGCAGCTACCGACTTCAAATTTTACAGAGAAGTCGAAATATAGACCCACATTTAAAACCTCGAAGTTGGGTGCGATCAAATACCGCAAAGTATTGTTTAAAAATTTTTGAAATTTTGTTTTGCGTTATTTTGGTTTCCAGTGAAAAATTCTTATCTTTAAAGTTATTAACCTAGGCGCGATGACGTCATTTACTATTACGGCGTACTGTATTTTTTCAGAAAACAAGTATTTTCTCGAAAACCATTTAATCTAATAAAAAAATTCAGGGTTAGAACCTCTATTTCAAACATTGAATTATATGCAGGATGTGTCGTTTATGTTCAAAAAATCTAAAATTTCCGTTTTTGTGAGCAGTATCATTAACTGGGTCGAGAGAAAGTTTCAGCATTCGTCATACAGGGTGCGGCAGATATGTGAAAAAATATAATTTCAAATGGCAATTACCAGTAATTTTTTTTATATTTACCAAAGTTTGCTAGTTGCCTTGCATGATTAAAATACTTTTGCTTTTATTTGTCTATTAAGCCCAAGATTTACTCGAAAAAAAAATAGTCAGTATCATCTGAAAATCAACAAATCATATCTTCCGACAAGACTTTTATGTAAAAATAATTACTAAAAGTCCTCAAGAGGGGAACACTTAGGACAATTCTCTCATTGTATGAACTTTTGTTTCAATATTTTACCGGATACAATGCAGGAAAGCAAATAACGAAAAAGTAAGTCTCCTTCTCATCTTGTGAGTACTGTTTTTCCTCAAGATAACCGTTGCATTAAACTACGGTAGAGGTTTTATTACTTCATTCGCTGAACCGAATTTAAAGAGCTTTAAACTTTTATGCAATTCGGTTTCGCAATTGCAAATTCGCAGCAATATCACACACGTGGGTATATTCCGTTCGGCAAACCACCTGCTGCGCGAAATTGAAAATAACTAGCTAAACGGATTTTCATTTTATTAACCTACTGCCGAGTCACCGTCTGCAAACTAGTGACCGCAGGGCTGGGCGTTTAATTGCGTTCACGATTACAGGGTGTTTTCTAATCTCGCTTATATTAAGCAATTAGGCGAAAATGTTGTTTAATCTGCTCAGTTGAAGAATTTGATGCAACTATACCTTGTTTCTTAATGCGAGCGAGCAATAACATGTAAATTTTCAAAAACGGTGGTACAGCCTATAGATCCAGGGTCGCCAAACCTCTTGAATGTGTTGAGCTACTTTGTTAATTTTGGAATAAACAGTGAGCTACCCACACGGAAGCCACGTAACGCAACGTAAATGAAATAATCCATTTTACTATTTAAGTTTACAAAGTACAAAGGTACTAATAATTAACTAATAACAAAATAACTAATATTACTAGTACATACTTGTTCATAGCTACAATCCTACCCACCAAAGGAATCTGTTTGAAAATTAAACGCAAACTTTTAACCAGCGATAACGGCATGTGACGTAAGATTTAAGAATAGTTAATAATAACAACAAAAAAGTAACGCACTATCATGAACATAAACATTGAGAAATAAAAAAGTACGTTCAATGAGAAGGCTGACACTCAGACTCATCAATAATTCTTTTTATGTTTGCAGTGTAATTTGATACAGGCATTCGAATGCAATGATCTGTAAGTCGATTACGATATTTGTTCTTAATAAACTTCGTATTGGAAAAAGAAGATTCACACAAATAGGTTGAACTGAATAATGCGTTCACTTTCAAGGCATATTTGTCTTTACATACAATAGACCAGGTACATTTGGTAGTTGAGATTAACGATTTTAAGGCCAAATCGTTTTGAAACTCAATTACTTCCATTTCCGTTGCAGCGATGTCTTCGGCAAAGTTCTGCATAACACAAGTTGGATATCAATTTCCATAAACGGTGAAACAACAAACTGCGCCATTTCGTTAAAATCCTTAAAACGATTTTTAATCATTTTTTTAATCCTTCAGTTTAGAAACTATTTCTACATGATATTTGCTGTCATAGGGTTCTAAGGATTTTGAGATATCTTTTATGAAAGAATAGGAAAATGCTTGCATGCTGGCATCGCTGTTAATTAGGTTTTGCTCCCAAAACTCCAGTTTTTTGATAAATGCTTTTACATCAGAAATCATTTCCATTAGTTCTTTGCCTCTCCCCTGAAGCTGTAAATTAAGTTGGTTTAATTTCTCTGTAATGTCCACGAGAAAACCAGAATCTATAAGCCAGACTGAATTTTCTAGTTCCGGAGTCGGTTCATTGCGTTGGTTAAAAAATTGAACTATGTCAGATAGGACATCATTAAAATGTCTCAGCACTCGTCCTCTACTTAACCATCGGACTTCAGAGTGAAGGAGTAGGTCCTCGTATTGACACTCAACTTCATCAGCCAAGGTTTTGAATCATTTTCTTTGTAACACTTGAGCTCTAATGTTGTTTACAATTTTTACCACCAGTTTCAAAACGTTGTTTAGTTTCAGGAAATTTCCACATAATGCTTGCTGATGGATGATGCAGTGGTAACAGAGAAATTGCGGAAAACTTCAAACATCTTTCCGACCTAGCGCCACCAGACAATTATCACAACCCACCATCGCTGGAGCGCCATCGGTTGTCAAACCTACCATTTTCGATATTGGAATTTTCTTTGAAGAAATAATATTTTTTAAATGAGAAAACAACTCCTGTCCATTTGTGTGTGCTTTCAGTGGAATAAACTTCAAAAAATCTTCTTTAATCGTAAAATCATTTAAAACCATCCTAACATAGTATAGGTTATGTAAAGTTCAGATAAATTACAATGGTACTTTCCCGAATTTTTAAGACATACACATCTCGAATCCATCTCAAATTAGGGTCACACTAATTTTCATTAAATAGAAAGACGAGTTTGAAAGAAAGTAATGTGACAGCGCGAAATGTCATGTTATCAGCTTTTCACATTCTTCTATTTCAATTCCTTCATCGTCCCTCATTTTAAAACTGGTGCCATGCCATGCTACAAACCCTTTTACTTGCGCCCATCTCAATGCAATTACCTGGCATTATCCATGATTATAAAAGAAACAAGGATGACTTAGTCCTCAAAAATATTCATGAGTGTTAGACATTATTGTGTACAAGGTAAGTAAGTTAAACGAGTGTCTAATGAAAGTCTTTTCATCCTCATTTATTGCTGTTCCTTTCTTTCCTGTACTACTGATAGAGCTCCATTTATCCTCGTGGCTCGTGGACAAGACGGTATATTGTTACTGTCCAACTTCACAGTTCCCTTTTTTATCCCATTGTTCTCTTCATTTCATATGCTTTTATTTTCGTTATCGGCGTCGATAAGGTAAATAATAAAGATAAGATAATTTACACATCTGTACTTGGTGTGAAAGCTGACGGTAAATATAAAAATAAATAAACAAATAAATAAAACAAAATTCCAAGCTTAATTGAATACTAACCCACTAGGAGGATGGACATCATCGTCACCGTATCCTTGTCCGATAGATCTCTTTCCACGTATGTGTCATTGCTGATGATCTGAAACAAATTACATTACTATTATATCGTCTTCCCTGGGTAGAATAAGTGCTTAATAAATCAAACACAAATTTGTGCAACGTTTTCTGAAATCGAGAGCATATTTTAAAGGGCGATTCAATTCTATTATTTAAGTTGTGTCTTTTTAATTTACACCATAACGCTTCTATGAAAATTGTTGAACAAAAAATCATTGTAAAAAAAAATAAATAAATTTATGTTTACTTATTTATATTTGTTAATTAATTACTAATTTGACTACTTAATAATATTCCAAACTAAAACCATTGAATAGTACATAAATATTAATTTTGACGCTCTTAATCCCATTTTTTTGTTCAGTTCTAATAACATCTAACATTTAATGAAACAATTTTGCAGTTCACTTTTCTCAAACATTTTTTACATAGGATATTGCTTAATGATGTTAACACTGAAGGAAATATTTCTTGGATTCTTTAAGAAACAAACTTCATCGTATATATGTCACAAGTTTGTAAGATGCAGAGATACGGGAAAAATTATTTCAAAAAATTAATAAATTCATAGTATTCAACACTTTTTTTAGTTCTAGTAGTGGCGACGGTTTTTTAACTTTAAATGACAACTAATATTCCTGTCCTTTAATGAAATAAGTTTGAAGTTAACCTTTATCAAACATTTTTTACAAAAATTTTTCTTTTAGGTAGACATCATTTTTTTTTATTTCTTCCAGTGACGTCTAAATTAATAGTACCCCTCCGATAGTTTCTTTTGGTAGTCATGCATAAAAGTCACCATTTCCGTTTTTGTTGTTGTTGATTAACATATTTAAGTTAAGTTTACTAAAGTTAAGCTAAGATACAAATTGAGTTAACTTAAAATGCAGTTTCATTTCATTTCAATTATTAGCATGTTTATGAATTTAGCCTAAAACCAGAGCTTTCGAAAATCTTACCAATAACAAATTTTTTAATAGATAGAAAAATAGTTACTAATCGGTATCACTTTTTTTATTAAATACTTTTAAGTAAATAACTATAGTTATTATATATAAATAGCGGAGAGTGAGGCACGACGGCCAGAATCTGCGCCAAAATTTGGGTAAATTTAGTTAAAGTTAGTCAAAAATAAATCGACTTGGTTAAAAGCCTCAAAAAATTATAACAAGCTTAAGTAAGTCGTTTGCTCGTATTAAGATGGTCTGATCAGGTTTGAGGTTAGGGACAAGATGTTTTGTGGAGGTGTTCTACTAAACGTAGAGTAGACACTTAAGAGTGTAAGAGCTTGGCTGCATAATAATTTTGATCTAATATCTTCTCTCTGTTTGCGGTTTGTGATTATTCTAATTACCCTACGTTGTAGGCCAAAGACTCTTGCTGTGCCGGGGGCCTTGCCCCAGTTTGCCAGACCATAAGGCAAGTGGAAGCCAATGAGAGCATGAAATGCTGTCAATCTACAGGCTACGCATTGGAATATTTTTTTTTTACATTTTTTTAGCCACTTAGTCTGTGTGGTGACGCCAATTCAGTTTACGGTCAAAATGAATTTCCAAGAATTTTGCGCTTTGTCCATTATTTACTTCGTTGATTTGACTTTGAGGAAAGATTAAGGGTTCACCTATTTTTTTAAACCATGCCTTAGCTTTTGTTTTTTCGAAAGTATCTGCGCTCTCGTATAAAAATTTTATATCTCGGTAAGTCCTATGGGATCGCCGTTGGTACAGAAATGATCACCGTCGAAAAAAAAATTTTTTTTTATCTGTCCGTTCTCCGTTCTCTGTTCTCGTCTTTTTAATAAATTTCGAACCTTTGAAGCTACAAAATTGAAATTTGTTCCTTTTGAACCCTTTACAAGGCAGATAAGCTTAGAAGAAATGGCCCTGATCCGACGCCGGTATCTATCTTTATTTCGCGATTTTCTACTGTTTTTTGGATCTTGCTATGAAACACGATAAGTGTCCGAAATTTGAAGCAATCGACTTCATATTTAGCACATATAGCAGCTGTGCTTCATGACAGAACCTATTGAAAATGGGGGGCCTGGGGTGTCGCTAAGTATTTAAAAAAAAATAAAAATCGCGTGTGCAAGGGTCTATAAAGCAGACCATTTTTCAAAAACGGTTTACAAGACCGAAATAAGTCTTGAACGACAGGACGCAGAGGAAACAACGCCATAAACTTTTATTCTTGACAATTTTTCAAAAATATACAGAATTTCAAAAAAACTGAAAAATGGGCCCCCTTATTATTGAAAATTGGCAATAATTTCAAATCTGTGTTTTGGATGCCAGTTTTTTTTATATGACGATATAGCCCATATAGACAGCTTAAACTTTTGTATTTACGGTTTTTAAGTATTGCACAGGATGTTCGCGATGTTCCATGCAATATTAAAAAAGCATAATAAGTACTCCAAATTTGCAGCTGCCGACTTGAGACTTGGGACAGAAGTAGAAGTCTAGACCCGCATTTAGACTCTTTACACTGGAAGCAATAAAATAACGCGATTTTTTTTTTGTGGTTATTTTGGCATCCAGAAAAACATCTTTTCCTCCAAAGCAATTCATCCGATCTGAAAAATTTTACATCCGCAATACGTGGGAGACCCGGCGCTATAACTTTTGTTTCATACATTTTTTCGATTATACACAAGGTGTTTTAATTATGGTTTTGAAGATGAATTATTGGCGATAAATAAAAACTTTTAAAGATGCGATAATTTGATACGAACCGTATCGTAAACTGTGTCGAGAGAGAGTTTAAGGTTTCGTCTATAATACAGGGGGCGCGAGATATTTGAAAAAATATCATTTTAAATGGCAATTGCCAGTATAAATTTTAATATTTACTGAAGTTTGGCGTAACTTTGAAGTTCGACGAGATATGAAGGCCACTTTATACAGTTTGTATTCACAATAAAATAAAATCGATTTTGCGAAAGTTCCATAGTGGTCCGCAGGAGCACGATAGAAAAATAATGCGTCCCTCTAGGACAAGAATAAGCGAAGCGCCTTCTTTTTAAAATAAAAAGCTGATTGGCGCTACTTGCGACGAACTTGCCCCGCCCAGCAATGATTTTTCGAAAGCAATTTTGTTAATTCAGAGATACCTTCAGCAGGTATGCCAAAACTAACCAAAACTAACTGCAGGTATAATTTTTTTTATTTATTAAGAAAGCAGTGTCGTCCGCATTCAGCTTCAGCCAACCATTCAAGGGATTCGGGAAGGCTGTTGATATTATATGAAAAAGAAGGTGAGTCCCATTACTGAGCCCCGCAGAATCCCATTTGTTCAGGTTTTATTGTTATAAACAATATATTGTTCTCTCTCAGCTAGAAATTAACCAACTAGGATTCGCCTCAAGATGTCAAAATTGCAATATTTTACTTTTTGTAATAGAGTCGAGTGGTCCACATGGTCGAAGCCTGGAGTACTATGGCAGAATGTTGAACTCGTAAAGTTGCCTTCTTTTTTGCAATATTTTTTAAAACTCGTGCCAATGTCTTTTAAGTTAGGACATATGTTGATATGAAGTTTTTTTAATTGAATTCAGCTCATAAATTATCTCCTTAAATATTGACACGTCATTAATGAACCATTGAAACCATTGATGATGTGTTATTTCCTATAAACCAATTTTAGTATACAATTTTGATTACAGTTATTGTTTCCGTATCCTGTGATCCTTTTTATAAATAATGCGATTCAATTTCGTTTGTGTTTGCCGCTTTTAATAACAATTCGACCTTTTTATGTTGTGAGGTGCACTGATATTCACCGAAATATTTTTAACGCACCGCCGGTTTTGACAAATAATGGTTTTGCAGCCGCATATTATAAATAACGTATCCACAAAGGTTCGAAAATTATAATGCCTTGTTTGTTCGTTTGTTCGTTTGTTATTAAATGTTGGTACATCCCCTTTTGCGAAATATTTCGTTGTGTTGCGATTATTCCGATGACGGGGTTTCCATTCAAACACTATAGTCAACGAACTCGTTTATTTTATATGTAGTTATAAACACGTAAAGGGTGGACTTTTATTAAATTATGCGATTTAAAACCGCAATCCTTGTGTTACACGCAAATATATAAAGTTAATTTGGAACCATCGTTGTTTGTGGACTACGGATATAGTCAGCTATTTACATTTGTCGATAAAACTTCAATGTGAACCTGAATCCAAAATAAAACAGCAGTGAAAGTTTTGGTAAAATTTGAGGAATCACAACTTTTTTATTTTTAAGCTGATTTTAAGACGGACATAGTTATGAATATATGATTATATCGTAAGAATCCTTTATGTTCATCGTGCTACCAGGTATGGCAGAGGATAGATTTCCTCAAGTTTCAACTTTTCGGGATCGCCATTTAACATCAGTACAGTCAGGAAATCAACTACAAGAAGTCTGAGGTAGAAACACACACTAAGTGAACAGTACGTCAAAGATTAAAGGGATTTGGTCAAAATGCTTGTAGACCAGCTGGACCAAAACTGCTTCGGCCTCACCGAATAGCTAGGATACAGTTGACCAATGAACATTTAAATTGGACCTTACAGCAATGGCAGAATCTACTTTTTCCTGACGAATCCAGATTCTACTTATATTTTAGAAATAGGATCCTAGAAAGATTTGCAGAGTCATGGAGAAGCGTCAGTAATAGTGTGAGGAGGAATCGCGTTACACCTTTCAGTGTAATTATCGGCAATGACTTTATCCTTCAGCCTTCCCTCCTCCTCCTAAGTGCCGTCTCTGCTGAGGTTGGCGACCATTGTGGCATACATTTCTCTGTTCTGGGCTTGATGTATGAGGGCATTTCCATCTGTGTGGGTCCAGTCCCGGATATTTCTCAGCCATGATTTCTTCTTTCGGCCTATGTTCCGTCTACCCTCTATCTTCCCTTCCAATATCAGCTGAAGCTGTTCGTGCTCTTGGTGGCGCATGATGTGTCCGAGGTAAGCGGTTTTACGTATTTTAAGGAGCGTGTACAAGTGTGCTCGTGTGTTCATTTTACGTA